GGGGGGGAGGAAGAGCTGGCAGGGGAGGGTCTGCCTCTGAAGCCGGGGCCCAGGTGGACCTTGCCTCTCCCCGAGCCTCTCTCCATCTGAGAGTAAGGACGGTTCACTCCTCCTGACCTCCCAGCTGTCATGGCGAGAGAGGGCACACGTGGCCCTGTGCCCTCGAGGAAATGCCCTCGGCAGAGAGGGCTTGTTACACTTTCTGGATGGAAGAGGGAGGCCGAGGTCAGGAGGTGGAGCGGAGGCCCCGGGGAAGCCCAGACCCCACAGGCAGATTGGGCAAATGCAGCTGCCATTCATGTTTTTTACTCCCATGGAATGGAGGCAAAACAGAGGAAGGAAAGATCTAGAAACTTAGCTGCTGTAGTAAGGCACTCAGCTCATTTTGATTTTACGTATAGAAAAAGCACAAGAGGGTTTCAACAGCAGCCTTTTCTGAGTCGGAGACGGCTTTTGTGGGCTAGGCCAATGGGAGTTTCTGCAGGTTTTGACCTCGGAGCCCCAGTACTGGAAGCTGAAGGCCGAGGCTGGCCCCCAGATAACGGGTTCACACTAGGAGCCCTTGGGCGCAGACGCTGGACTGAAGGCCCACCAGCTTCTCCTGGAAGGAAGCAGCTCCCCACGGGCGCATGTCGTGGAGTCCTTCGACTAGCTTTCCGTGGGTGTGGCGTGCTGGCCTGCTCCATAAACACGTGGGCTCTCACCCTCCGAGATGCCCTGGGTCTGGGCCTCCTGCTCCGCTGAGAGTGGGGTGTAGCCCCGGGGCCGGCTCCACGCAGGCCTCTAGAAAGCCCTGGGCGGCTCCGGTGTCAGGTAGGCGTGGGCTCAGGGCGCAGGGGAGCGAGGGCACCGGGAGAAACGGGGTGTGAGCTCTGCAGTCTCAGCCAGAAAGAGCTGGGTCCTTCCAACACTTTCCCCCTTCTGTGGATCTGAGATGTTACCAAACAACCAAATCAAACCAAGTCGTCAGCGAGAGGCCAGCCCCCCCTACGGCGGGCGGTCTGTGTAGGGCTTCATCTGGAAATGTCCCGATCTTTTTGGTTTGGCAAGAATTGGCTTCTCCCGCGCAGCAGCTGTGCAGGCCCAGGCCCTGAGAAGGACCCCATCTTTGGTTTCCTTTTATCCTTCTGGTAGCTGCTGGCTCTCTCTCTCCAAAGCTTAAGCAGAATTGGGGCACCCACTCTTGTCTCCCTTTGGAAAGGCTTTCCTGGCCCCAGCATGCGTCTCTGCACCTCACCAACCTCGTGGTTTTAGCCCTGCCTCCTCCCCTCCCGCCGCACTCAGCCCTGGCTCTGCCGCTCTGCCGTCTCCTCTCTCTCCGGGCGGGTTTCAGCCTGCTTCAAGGTGCCCTCACCCCTGTGGACGGGCCCCCCCCCCCCCAGGCTGGGGGGCTCCTCACCCACGGCCAGGGTTAGCCCCCCAGTGGCCTCTCCCTCTGGTGGTCTGGGGTGCGAGGTGAAGGAGGGAGGTGGGACGGGCTGACCCAGGCAGCAAAAGTGGCCCCGGGGGCTCTGGTTCCCCCCTCCCCCAAGAATGCTCCCTGCCCGGAACGTCACTTTCAGTAGCTGGATGGGCAGGGAGCCCCAGAGAGGAGGGCGAGGGGCTGGCAGCCAGGGATGGAGGGCCCGGGGACGGGTGGCAGGGGCGGCGTGAGGCGGGACCGTCCGAGGGGAGTGTTCCAGGCTCTGCGTGGGAGGATTCTGACTTGCTGCGCGTCCGCATCGTGTCACCTGGGCTGGCACGGCTAGTGCCTCGGCTCCCAGCTGGGGGCCCTCCGTGTCCCGGGCCAGCAAGGCCGTGAGCCCCTCTGTGCAGCCGGCGCACCGTGGCTGGCGGGGCCCGCGGGGCGGTGCTGAGGCTGTTCTGGCCCCTTTGCTGACGGACGCTGATGTCGGGCCGTCTGGCGCGTGTAGGGCTGTGGGGGGGAGGCCGGCGTCTGTACCAGGGTCCTATTCCCTCACGTCCGGGGTTCTGTCGGCCAGGGTGGGCTCTGCCTGGGCCGTGGGCTCTTCCAGCCCTGGCTTGTGGAGACCTTCCAGGCTGTGCCGCCACTAGGTGGTGGCTGCTGGGCCCCAGGGGTCCCTTCTGGCCGAACGTGCCCATCACCGTGTCAAGATTAGGTCTCGGGGATTAGGGGCGGCAGGAGGGAGAGAGGGCCCAGCGGCCGGCACCGTGCTCCCTTTTGCCTTCTGGGAGCGTCCCAGCTGGGTGCCCCAGGGGACTGTGTGCATGTGCTTTAGCCACTGCTGGGTTACGAAGCTCGGAGAGGGGCAGAGGGGTGGCCGTGGACCCCCGCGGCCGACCTCATTGTGTGGTCCTGCACCTCCAACCAGGGGGCACCTCGAGGCCCCCACCCCTGGGCAGCCCCCACCCCTGGGCAGCACATCGAGGCTGCATTTGTCTAATGGTTTGAAGTTGGAAATGGCAGTTTTTGATGCCACGGGTGTTTGGATGTTTTTTCGCCCCCGACAGGAAATCCTAAGTTGAACTAGTTAATTAGCCGATCGAGCTGGTGGGCGGGACGATGGTGTCTACCTAGTAGGGCTAGGAGCCAGCCTGTGGGTTTAAACCCCAGCCGGGGCCTTAGCTCCCAGCCCGAGGCACTTCTGCCTCTGTCTTAGTGCCTCAGTTTTGGGTCTGGGAGATGGGTACCGACAGCTCTAAGGCGAGGAAGGTGCAGGTGCTTGAACTGAGACGCGTCGTGGGTGAGGAGGACACACGTGCTGCCCGGGGCCGTGGAGGCACCGCTGTGTCAGTGCTGGCCCCTCGTGAGCTCAGAGGCACGGGCTCCCAGGATGGCTTCACGACTTTTCCACCCACCAACGGGGTGATTGTGGCCTCGGGCGCACGAGAGGCCCAGCCCCAGCCGGCGCGTGGGAAACCTCAAACCTGCACGATGCTACAGGTTCTTGAGCCCGTGGATTGGCAACGTGGCCGAAAGCGTCCACCCTGAAGACGGCGAGGGGCTTTGTGCCATGAGGCCCTAAGGACAGAGCCAGGACTGGGCATGCCTGCCCTGACCTGGGCCCGGCCCTGCCCTCTGCCTCGGTCTCCCTCTGTCCTGGCCTTTGTTAGGGACAGGGGAGGAGAGTCAGGAAGCAGGGGGGCACAGACCCTGAGAGCTCAGAAAGGGGTAGGGATCACCTCTGGGGTGCTGTGAGCGGTACTCTGGATGGCCCCGGAGCCCAGAGCCAGCCCCCGTGGAATGGTCCCCAGAGCCTTCTAGGAAGGCACTCCTGGCTTTGAATTGGCCTGGGTGGGAACAGCCTTCAGCTCTCCTTCCCGGAGGCTATAGTGGCTGAGGACCCTGGTGCCGGGCACTGTGCCCTCACAGGCCTGCGGTGGGAGGTGCTCCTCCGCTTCTGAGGGCCCTCCCGTTGGTTCCTTGGCAAGTATCGATGGGGGTGGGCAGGCCGTGGCCCCTGCGTCTGTGCCCAGGGCGCCTGGGGGCCTCCTCTCTGCCTCCCAGCACGGGGCTTTCTGCAGTGGGCCCTGCGCTGGGAGATGGGGTGGGGGCTGACTTGAGGGCCCTGCAGCTGGGGGCTGTCCTGCTTGGTCCCCTTAGCTGTGTCCAGAGTGGTGGGCTGGCCAGACGGGGGCCCAGTCAAGGGGGCAGAGCAGGGTCGGGACATGTTCCCGCAGCCTGAGGTCCGGGCTCCCTCCGCTTCCCCCTCTGGACCTCAAGGCTGCGCTTTCTTTCGTGGCCGCCCCCTTCACGCACCCTCAAATTCAAGCAGAGGCCCTTGGCCAGGTTTCCGGGGGCCCAGGGAGGGCAGCCCAGCACTGTCCCTGTCCGGAAGTGAGTGCTGTGAGAGGCTCACCAGCCAGCCCCGGCCAGACCCTGTCAAGAAGCAAGGGGCTTCTGCTCTCTGAGTCTCGGTTTCCTTTTGTGACCAGGGCCATGGCTGGCTTTTGCCGACAGCTTCCGTGCCTAGTCTTGCTGGGTGGCCAGGGGCAGGAGAGCCCCCGCCCCTGTCGCAGTCAGGCAGACCTACCTGCACCGTCCTCAACACAAATGCTTTTCAGTGATGAGTTCCCCTGGGACAGCCCTCCCCTGGGGCATTCTCAGAGAGGGCACCTTGCTGACGAAGAGAAGGGCTCCACAAAGCCATCAGGGGCTTCCCCTGCCCCAGCGGGACATCCGGGCCCTGGAAGGCAGTGAGCCCTTTCCTCCAGCTGGTGCCTGTCTTGGCCTGGGGGGTGCCCAGGGAGCAAGAGACACTTGGCAGAGACCGCCCCCCCGCAGGTTGGGACAGATGGCTCTGAGGAGATACGTGACATGGGGGCTGGGAACAGAGAGGAGGACAGGCCTCACTTGTGGAGGGAGCGGAGAGCACCGGGGTTGCCCCGGGACCGAGGGGGTGGCTGGGCGGTAGGGCTAACGGTGAGGCAGGAGCTTGGCTGGCATCGAGGGTGTGTGGGAGTCTGGTCAGAACCCCAGGCCCCGTCTGGCTGCTGTGGGGGCCGAGGGGGAAGCAGCTGGGTGACAGGTCCTCCGCAGAGGACCTCTACGTTTGAGGGAGAGCTGACGCATTTGAGAGCAGAGCCAGGACGCTGCTCAGGTTTCTAACCTTCTGTAGGCAGAGGTCCGGCAGGAGTGGGGGGGACAAGATCTGGAGCCCACACGAGAGAGGGGCTCCGGGGTCTGGAATCAGGCCCCTGGGGCACAGCCCTTCCCCACGCCTGTGGTCACAGGGGCTCCTCCAGGAAATGAGGCACGGGGCGAGACCAAGGGGCTCAGCCTGGGTGGTGTCTGATCTCTAAGCAAGCTAAGAGGGGTCGGGGATGTGGTGATACCTCTCCTCCTCCTCCTCCCCCTCCTCCTCCTC